ATCCGTTTCACGATTACAATTGTTGTATTTATGAATAAATTATTAATTTCTAGAAATGTTCATACAACATTTACATTCGCTTCTATCTGCACACTTTATAAGTCCGCGCACACACGCAAATACACTTTGTGTGTGCGTGTGTGTGTGCTGAATACTTTGGCGAGTGTATAAACTTTCGCCAGCCTTTGTGACAGAAGCGATGTGACGTTGAAATAAATACCGGGGTTTGTTATTCACGTGCGTGTGTGCTGGCGGTCGGGTGTGTACGTGTGTTCGTCGCCGGCGTGTGATATCGCTTTCTCTCACGTTATCTCTTCATCGATATCTTTTTTAGAATAATTAGGTGCTCCTGTATACATATATAGATACTGTCACTCTCTAACTCATTCTGTGTCATTCTATCTATCTATCTATCTATCTATCTATCTATCTATCTCATTCTTGATGCCTATGTCATTCTATCTATCTATCTATCATCTATCTAACTCATTCTTGATGTCTATCTATCTATCTATCTATCTATCTATCTATCTATCTATCTATCTATCTATCTATTTCATTCTTCACATCTATCTGATTCTTCATTATCTATCTATCTATCTATCTATCTATCTATCTATCTATCTCATTCTTGATGCCTATCTATCTATCTATCTATCTATCTATCTATCTATCTATTTCATTCTTCACATCTATCTGATTCTTCATTATCTATCTATCTATCTATCTATCTATCTATCTATCTATCTATCTATCTATCTATCTATCTACTTCATTCTCCATATCTATCTATCATTCTTCATTATCTATCTATTTCACATTCTTCATATGTATCTATCTATATCTAATTTTTTTTCATTTTCATCTCTCTCTCTCTCTCTCTCTCTCTCTCTATATATATATATATATATATATATATATATATATATATATATATAAATTGACTGATTGACGAGAACATTTTGTAGACACACACGCACATATATATATATTTATATGTTTAACGCCATGTCTCTTCAGTACGTCGGCCATCATGATTATATTATTAACTGTGAAGTGCTATGCATTCTTGAAAAATGTAGTGGAGTGGTTTCCTGTTGTCTTGTGTACAGTTTGGAATTCAGTGTTTATTTTATCTTAACCAGGGGTTGCCAAGCAAAACCATAGAGCCCTGTCTACTCTGCTATTTATACTCGAAAGGCTTCCCATTAGTATGAAAATGAACGCAATTGCTTGCTGATAACCGTTACACTACCCGCACATCCGAAGTGCATTTATATATATATATATATATATATATATATTTAGAATTATATATATATATATATATATATATATATATATATGTGTGTGTGTGTGTATCATTCTACATCCTTGCACGTTGTAATACAAATAGTAAACAAATAACTGACAGCCGTAAGAAGACAGGCAAAACATTAAACTCAACCTGTATATACACATACATCAATAGGCATTACAAAAAATACAATATTGGCTGAAGGACTATGCCAGATTTTTTTAAAACTGACTTTACGATATGTCAGCATGATTATATATATATATATATATATATATATATATATATATATATATATATATATATATATATCCTAGCAAGAGGTAACTGGACGTCTAGCCACACTGATGAGATGTGATACATTGAAACAGTCTTCTGTCTGTGGCTGACAATATATATGCTCCTGAAAAATTTATTTCAGATGAGCTTTATGGGGTGGAAGTCTGGGTTTGTAAACAGTGTCTATTACTGCTAATAATGCAAGAGTCTTCGGTAAAGTGAATCGAGTTCTCTCAATCACTGTGAGTTTATCTAAAAATAAATACGCTTAAATTCACCTTACATTCCTGCCGTGCGCCAAAGGCTTAGGGGTAGAATCTCCGAATTCAGCCGGGTTTCGATCCTAGCTAGAGTCAACCGAACGTCTAGCCACACTGATGAGCTGTGATACACCGAAAACAGTCTGTCTGGGGATGACAATATATATATATATATATATATATATATATATATATATATATATATATATATATATATATTGACTCTGAGGGTCAAGCACATCAGTTCCTAGGAAACCGACAGCCCAGACAGCAGCACATGAAATTTGATTTTAGGAGTGAAGGCTTTGTGCAGAACCATCCACACTTTTTGAAGGGCCGAATACAGAGACCTGGTGCAGTACGTGCCACAAGGTCCCCAGACGACCCTCCGCAGGTTTTGATTTCAGAGTTGTCCTTCTCCTAGACCAGTTGCCATCGAAGGCTATAGAACCCAGTCTGTCCTGCTATTTACCCATAGCTGGAGGGAGAAGAAGAGGATTCATAATTTTCCGAAGGGTATTACACACACACACACACACACACACACACACACACACACACACACACACACACACACACACACACACACATATATATATATATATATATGTATTTGCACACACACACACACACATATATATATATATATATATATAGTATGTAAATATGAAAGTGGACACTGAGGTCAGCTCTTAATAAATGTAACATTCAACAACATAATAAAGTAGTCAGGCCAAAACACAACTCATAATGCTTAAAGATTGCGTTTAAGCCCGAAACCTCAGTGTCTACTCATATATATATATATATATATATATATATATATATATATATATATATATATATATATATATATTATATTATATATATATATAATTATTTATTCGAAAATTATAACATAAATATGTTATGAAATCACTACAAAACTAGCCATTTTGTTTCTACACTTCTGGTGTCTTATCAAGTGATGGTGTTGAATGTCTATATATATGTATGTATATATATGAAGAAAAATAGTTTAAAGGTATGCTGTATTTATGGGGTAAAGTGCTCAATATCACAGATAGAGCGTATTTAAATACAAAATGAACTTTGAACTCAACACTCAGAGGCAACAAACTGATTTATGCTAAACGCAATGTTCACTTTTCTACACACACACACACACATATATATATATATATATATATATATATATATATATATATATATGTGTGTTGGGGGAAATTCAAGTTGAGTTAATTACATTCACTAGCGTGCTAATACCCTTGGGAAAGGTATGAATCAATCGCTGTAGGTAAATAACAGGAGAGGGTCCTATAGCACTGGAGAAAGATAAAACCCGAGGAGGATCATTTGGTGACCCTGTGGTGCGCTGTACCTCACTAATCTCTATATTCAGCTCTTCCCAAAAAGTGTGGTTGCTTCTGCACAAGCCTTCACCATTATAATCAAATTATATGTGCGAGATAGAGACATTGTCTCTATAACCTGAAACAGGCTTGACGATTGCGTTTAGCATGAAACAGACTGTCGCTTCTGAGTATTGACTTCAATGTCCACTTATATATATATATATATATATATTTTTCTATAAAAATAAATAGAAATAAAAATTTAAATTAAATAATATTTTAGTTTTACTTCATTTTTTACGATTCTGTGCAAATTTTCTGTAACTTGGGGTCCTGTTTGACAAAAAATATTAATGATTTAAATTCTCCCAGTTCTACTTATAACGTTTTTTTTAAGCGTTTCACCCCAAGCAAGGCGGAAAGCCACTAAGACGCAAGGGGTTACAGAAAATTTGGAGCAAGATCAGATAGGAGTGATAGAAGAAAGGATGAGGAGAAGGGTAGTGGATAGATGAACTTTAAACACGGCATGAAAGAATTTCTAAAAATGTCATAAAATTAAACAAGTGGGGTTAACATATGTGAACATATTTTTACAAAATTTTTTTTTTCTGAAAAAGAAACGTTTGAAAAATAATTTAATTCATTTGAGTCCTTAATGATTCATTAAAATCCCACAAATCAGTTTGTTTTGCACAACAAAAAGACACGAAGATTTCTCATATCAATTTATGTTCATTTGATGACGAAAAGAAAATTTAAATTTTCCTCTTAATAATAACGTAGAGATTTTGACGATAAAACTTTGTTTTTTTAATTTTTTCATTATGTATACTCATTTTTTACTAAAACTTTGGAGGTACTTAGTTAAAGGCTTAATCAGAATATCAGTGATAGGTTTAATAGATAATATTATTACATCGTCTGGAATGTTCACTGCTTATCGTTAACACAAAAGAACACTAAACAATGTATATATTTTAATAAAAGAATTTCTGGCATATTGTTAAATGATGTTTGGTTTGTTCACTAATTTGAATTAATAAAATATATCAATTTATGACAGCATTACTATTAGTTTTCATGAATTTCTCAAAAGGCAATATTCTTTGTTTCCTACTATGTTGACATTCTTTTCTTCACTCTGTTGTTGAAAGAATAGCACAAGACATTGTAGATTGAAGGGTGTCAAATGTAGATGTATTTTGGGCCAATATTGCTTGCCTGCTACTGCAAACAATTCTAACCAGATACCTCTGGTCTTGGTCAATAAGGACTTGTAGTTGGCCATTATACTGTCCACTGTGGATAGTCATAACTTCCATTGGGTATTCCTGGCATGCACAAGACATTGTAGATTGAAGGGTGTCAAAGTCTCCCTTCTGTCTGGCACCCACTATCATGCCTTATTCAAATTTTGATAATTCATGTTGTCTTACCATTGTTTCTATGATGACAGAACAATTGATATAGGTTTTCACATTTCCATGACATCATGTATGGAAGCACCATTTACCTTTTATATATTATTATCTCATGACTTTTGGTACGTCGGTGTATAAATGAGGCTTGGAGTAAATGCTTATTGTAGTTGCAAGCAAATCTATGTCAAATATTTATGCTAATATAGACATAAGCCAAAGATATGTAGAATATCAGTCATAGGTTTAATCGATAATATTATTACATTTTCTAGAAAGTTCTCTGTTTATTATTGCCACTTAAAAATAGAGCACTAAACAGTGTATATATTTTAAAACTTGGCATGATAGAGTGTGCTAATATCTGCACTGGAAAATCGACAACTTT